TACCAGAATATCCTGGCTTTAAATCATTGTTTGTTGCCGAATTTAGATGGTAGATGTTACCTTATTTCGACACAGCGAACAGCTTGAACGTTGCTTGTACTCTCTTGTGATAATGATGCAGGTGATATGTTATTTTGTTCTTTTTTAAAATAAGATTATAGATGTTGATTAACGATTAATATTTTTGGTCTATTCTGAACTGAAATGCTGCTTTTTTACTTGATTTACAGTCTTTTTGAAAGTTTTATAGTAGAATCTTGTTCTGGACTGAAAGATTGAGGAAGGGATCTGGGAAAGGTGACTTTTTACCAAATCATGGGCCTCGCCATCAAAGGTTGAGTGTGCAGGCTTTTACACAATCGCATTCACTTCAAATTCATATTTCTTTCTAGTGTAGTGTTTTTAAAATTGTATTAAAGCCTATTTCTTGGAGACTTTGAAAATTGCACACGCACTTTTCAATTCTATGGTTGAATTTTGCTGCTGTTTTTTCTGCTGCTACTTTCCATTGTCAGAAGATCAGTTAAAGCACCAGTTTCGCTGGGACGCGTTGAAATCCTTTACTTGTATTTGCTTAAGTGATTTCAACTCTGGAACCAATAACTTCTTCACCGTAGAAGCTTTTTACTGTGTAGAATGCGATATTCTGAATAATATTTTTTAAACAATAAAAATGCCATTTTTCGTATGATTTTTTTAAACTGCTTTTTTTTGCTTCTCAATTGATTGCAGTTCAAGAAAGGTGTACCATGGCGGAGAATCTAAATCAAGTGGATCAGTTGGATTCTCATACGAATTTAAAAGTCCTGAGCTGTTCTTAAAATTAATAACCATGCATGTTTTTAAAGTTAGCGAGGTAGCTTGAAATTCGGAAAATTTCCAAACTTTGAAAAAGTATAGCTTTTAAAGGGGCTCCCTTTTTGAGTCTACTCTGAAATTTCTTCAAGCCAAGTTCACTCCTTACTTACCAAGAAATTTAGAAAAAAATTGAGATTGAAGCTGAAAAAAGCGTGGGGTTGGTCGTAGAATCTT